AAAACCCAACATATTTTAATTAGATTGGATCGATTTTTGGTTTGATTGGTGAAAATCAATCCAATATATCATGTATTTATTATTTTTGAAAGATGATGACTTGGAATCTTGTTGTTTTGTAAATTTGGAATCTTGGAAATTATTGATAGCAAACTATCTTTTTTAGTTTTTTTCTTGTCAATTAATCTATTTTAACTCTTCATTTGTTTAAGACTTGTTTTAGTTTGAAGACTTGAATTTTTCAGTAGTTTGTAACTTTGAATAGCTTTATTTTGATACATCTGATCTAGTGATTTGTAAACTGAAATTTTAGCCTTTTCGAAAAATTGAAAATTGAAAGCCCATCCAATTCAAACCAAATAAAATTGGATTGGATTGGATTGGATTAAATTTAAAAAAAAAAATTCAAACCAAATGAATGATTAAATGATTAAATTGAAGGGATTTGATTTGATGATTTTTGCTTCAAAATCGATCCAATTCAAACTGCGAACACCCCTAATTTTAAGGATCGATTAAAATAATACATTAAAATATCAAATTAATTTTTATATATATTTTTGATTAATTAATATTATATATTTATTATATAATGTTACATTTGCAATGAATGGGCCACAAAAATCGAATTCTAGATCACTTAATTATAAAAATATGGAATCACTCTAATACCATGTTACTTAAAAAAAAAAAGAAACTTAAATTGTAATAGCTTATTGTAAAAATAACAAGTCTTATACTATATTTTAACCGTTAATTTTCATGCATCTAATGGTTAAGATTTATTGGGTCATAATAATTAATTAATTAATATGACCCAATAAATCTTAACCGTTAAATGCATGGAAATTAATGATTAAGATGTAATGTAAAATTTATTATTCTTAGTGTAAGTTGTTCATATTCCTAGTATTATATATCTGAAAACATGAAGACCAAAATAGACATTTGTCCAATTTACTTTTATCACTTCGCAAGTTAATTTGTAAACACAACATAGCCGAGGATCTTGGAGAAACTGGATTCCTTCTCAAAGAGTGCATAAAAACATGGCCGAGCCCACCCTCTGTGTTTGGTAACAATGTTGGGAAATGGTGTTTCCAATGGCCATCATATGAGTAACGTCTAAGAACATTCCCTTGAGAAAGGAACAACACATGGAAATGGAAATGGTGTTTCTAATTCTTAAAGCATGTACGAATCAATTTGCTAATAATCAAGCAAAGTTCTGTGTGTTCTTTCACATTTCTTTCAGAAAACATATGCTGCTCAACCTTTGAATTAGATATATAACTACTTGGATACCATTGTGTAAGTTAACTATGTTGACAATTCATGACAACTTGACAAGTTGTTTGGGAGATACAAAGTCTTAAGTTTAATTCAGTTGTTTATAAATTTTTATTAATTACACTATGTCTGACCGGTCATACTTCAATTAAGAGTGTATGACCTGTTAAACTTAGTGTAATTTATAAGAAAAGTTTATAAATAAATCTTTTTCATAAAATAATCTTTTTTTTTCTTTTGGGTACAAAACTAAGCAAAACTTTGAAGTACTTTTCTGTTTTTTCCCCGTACAATGTCATTTGTTTAGTATTTTTCTCCCCTCCCTTTTTTTTTTTTTTTTAACTTAGAGGTTAAAGTATAATATGACATATTGATATTTGACTACTCACATATGGTTGCAGGGGCACATGGCTGCCTCATTGGTTAATTGCACATTTGGTCACACATGGACCACTTGACATGACATCTGCTTCAATGCAAGCCTGCCAAACATTTTGTCGGAATCACTGTCACAGAATCTCCTTTGAAAAAAATGCTTCTATGGTGTCAAAAAAAGGCTTATAATTAAGGCCTATTAGGAATTATGCCATATGATCACTTAAAAATATGCTTATCTTACCTTAAGCAGCCAGTGTATTTTTTATTTTATTTTTTTAATGACTTTACACCAACTTGAATTCTCAAAATGACCAAGAATTTCATTTTCTACTCAGTGCAGCCCACACAAATCAATATAAATGTACAAACTTGAAATGCATTTTCAATATTTAGCTTTGATTCAATGCTAACAGATGTGCTAAATGCTTTCAATATCCCTTTGGGGAACTGATTTTAATAAATGTAGCAGTCAATGAAATAGGGGGGACATTAGTAGGGGCAGCTGTGAGCTGTGAATTTGACTAAGGCCTGAGGAATGGAGGTGGCTGGGACAGTGATTTCTTATCATGCTGTAATGGAGAGGATATTGCTAAGGTCTTTGCTTGTAGGGTCTCTTTAGAAGCATTGAAGCCAAACCAACTTCTTCAAGTTGTCTTTAATCTTTAATTAGATTGAATTGTATTAGGTCTGTGGCCTGGAGGGAGCCCCTAGAAATACCCATGATAAATTTCCTCTCTATGGTAGTAATAACCTAACAATTTTTAATCACCTCTTTTATCTTTTGTGTCTTGAATGAGGTTTTGAATGGCAATTTGGCAATCCAGGGCAACAGTTGTAGTTGATTTGATGATTCCACTTACCTCTTGTTAGTATCTGACAATGAAAAACTAGACTTACTACTAGCAAGTGAATTAGTTGGCAAAATTTGCTAGCATTGTTATGTAAAAGTGTAAACCAAAAGAAAAGAAAATTAAAATGCTTAAGTGTACTATTGGGAAGAGAAATACTACTTAAAGCAATATTTGTTTAATGTTTTAAACGGGATTCTTTAATAAATAGGATTACTCAGATAGCATTACATCAATAACTGCATATTATTTATGTTGAGATAATTGTATATGTAAAATAACATCTTTACCAAGTGCTATGGTATATTTAAGCTTGGACTATGATACCTCTTCATTAGGCAACAACATTTGACATGAAAAACTTTGTTTATGTGGCCTGAATCAAATTAGATATGATAGCAGCATTATCTGCATTATGCTAGAAGACGAGCATGGTGAGCACAGGGTGAAAGACATTACAAAGTTTGCTTGATCTTATTACTTATTTCTGTTTTCTCTTTAATATTTTGTGGTAAATTTAGTTGTGTTATACTCCATCATGAGTAACCAGGGTTGCATATTTGGATAAATTTGCTTCTAAAACTGTCTTTCTTCTGAGGCATTTGATTAGTTTTAATGCGGGGGTGTCTGTTGCACCAACCCTTTCCACAAGATTAATATTGCTGCAACAAAACTCAAAAGGGGCTGCATTAACAATAGACAAATATCTAATATGTAAACAGTTATGCGATCATATGTAAGCTAATGCCAATGCAAGATCTTATATTCATATCTTATATATAGTCCCAGTTGTACCAATGTTTCAGTGTAAATAGACATCAACGCCTTTGGCCTAAAACTTTCAAAAAGAAAAAAAAAACAAAATAAAAACTAATACAACAATTTACCAAAACATATATTATAATTTATAGATGTACTGTATCTCATGCCAGGCTTGCTATTAGCCATCAGAAAAGTTCTGTGCCTCAAGGTAGCCAACCATATAAACTCTGAGCTTTTAGTTTCTTTATAATCTTCAAATAATTCATTCTTTTTGTTACCACTTCATCATCTTTGCAGAAAATATTCTACCCTTCAATACACTTGTTGAAAACTTTACTGTAGTTTAAACCCAAGGGAAGTCCACACCAGCCTATAAACAAACATTGCAGAGGTTTGAAAGGTAGAAAGAAAAGGTTTGGAAGAAAGAAAGGGAAGGGTAACAGACCCTTAAACTACTTTCTAGCAAATCCTATTATTCAATCATATCATTAAATATATGAGCAGTGATTCGCTGAAATGCATGAAACAGTATTTGGTATATGCAATCAGAACTCAGAATTCATACTCAATATGGTGATAAAAAAACATAAGATTGTAGAGTAACATATGGGACTGAGACACAAAAAGCACATGACTAACCAGAAGCTTTCTAATCATTAACAAGTTAACTGAAACAGGAAGACCAACTTACTACGCATACCTCTAAATACATCCCAGAATTCTTGTAAATCCCAGAATTCTGATTAAGACAAGGTGATGATGATGCACCATGCTAGACTTGTTTTCAACGAAGAATGTTAATTTTTCGAATTTGAGATGCATCCAATGATTTACGAATTTACCAATGCATGTTTTCAATGATTAAAAAATGATTTACGAGTTTTTTACACACAATCCACATATAAAACTGATCTAAGGGGGAGAAATGATAAGACGTTTAATTTTTTTTATTAATAATTATAAAAATACTAGTTTATTTTCGTTGTAGTTTTCGAGAATTTACAGAAAATTAGAGTTGGTCTTGAGAGTGAAACATATCCCTCTACCAAACATAAACCTTAAAAATGCATTTTGATAACAATGATGCATAATTTAAAATTATTAACGAAATGAATTGAAGCTATGGTCTCATACAAATTCATCATTAGACAAATCCTATTAACTTGTGTGCGTTTGAGTTACCTAAGGGATGAATGCTTATCTACACAAGGGGCAAATGGCACTCAGATTTAATAAGTGACATATTTCTGCACCACTTGAACGTACATAATATTTGCACGTCTTATTGTATTGTTTTCAATAAATTTTTTATAATCGTATTAATGGGATAAAATTACGGGATAGATTATTCTACCTACCATTTTTTACATCTACCTTTGCCTACCACCCTCCAACACCGTTAGATCACAATCTAAGAAGAGAGAGAAAGATAAATATTAATTAAGATTGTGATCTAATGATGTTCTAGAATGCTAGACAGAAAAAATGATAGGTAAAATAATCTATCCCTAAAATTATATATTATTTCCATCAAATAGCTCAAAATGCTGCCCTTAAAAACCAATTTTGTGGTTTAGCTGTAATTTCAGAATATATTAAACAACATAGGAGATGAGTTAATTTAACAAACGTTGTATACCAAAAAGATAAAAAAAAATTGACAAACGTTGTATAATTGTATACCAAATAAAAATAAAATTTTTGACAAACGATAGCCAGAAAGATGAACACCATAAGCATTACTTGTTTCAAGCCTTGGGTTCCTTCTAAGGTGCTTTGTCCCAAAACCAGCTTCAGAAAATTCCCACAAATAGTCCGTGCCAGTCTTCAAGATTCTAAGCCACCCAATACAAGCCAGCAACAACAACTCAACCTCTCCGTTCTTCGCTTCACATTGGGTCCCCAACTCTCTCTCTCTCTCTCTACACACCACACACACGTGTGTGTGTGTGTGTGTATGCATTTGAGATATTTTTTTAATTGATATTTGTGGTGTTTTTGCTTCAGGGATACCTGGGTTGGATGAATCCTACTTGCCCAGATGGATTGGTTATGGCTTTGGTTCACTTATTTTCGTAAATCACTTTCTTGGTTCTGATTCTACCACCGTTACACCAGCCCAGCTTGTAAGAAAATAAAAAATTTGCATTTTTTGTTTTAGTTTCCCTTTTCATTCAATAAAGTTTATTTATTTATTTATTTATGTTTCTGGGGTGGGCTTCAATTGTTGTGTTTTTCTTTGTTATGTAGAGTACAGAGGTTTTGGGTCTGTCTTTGGCTTCCTTCTCTATTGTGCTGCCTTACCTTGGTAAATTTCTCAAGGTAACTTTATCCATATAATGTATATCAATGCTTCAGTCTGAATAAATTGAATGAATTCTGTAAGACTTGTAGATATATATGGAGATCCAAAAGTTCAATAAGGCTTCCTGTTTCAATAAAACTTGTTCAGAATAGTACATTTTTTTTTTCTTTTATAAAAATAGAATAGCTCTAATTTTATTTGTAAATATGTGGAGCTCAGATATGAAGTTTTTCATGTATGATACTGATCCTCAGCCAAATGTGGGAAATTGTTAGGGTGCTCAACCAGTGGATGAGGCCACTCTACCGGATGGCGCAGAGCAAATATTTGTCATGTCAATGGATATAGAGGATGGTTTGAAGGAGGACCTGGCTTGGTTGTCATACATTTTGCTGCGTAATACAAATGCCATAGCTGCGGTATGTTGCATGTACTATCATTATAAATTTAAACAAACACATGATAGGTTGATTGCTGGTGGGATCCTTCATTTGTAGCTCACATGTGAATATCACTTTAAGCTCTCACTGAGGCTTGTGGAATGCCCTAACCTTGGAATGGGGCACCCTCCCCTCCCCCAAAACTTTTATTATATATCAATATATATGTACGTAATCAACTTACACAAGTGGAAGAATAAGAAGTTTTGCACCTATTCTTGGCCATTGATCCAATTGTATCCAATGACTCACATAAGTAATAAATTAGAGTCGTTAGATATAAGTGGGATCAGTGACAAAGATTGAAAGTATAACTTAATACTTGTATAAAATGATCTTGCCCCATATGTATATATATATATATATATATATATATATATATATATATATATAACCTAGAAAACAAGGAAAGAAAGAAAAGGGGAAATGATATGGACAGTAGTAACTACACGATGGTGTTGTATTGACATTAATTATTTTTGTTTATGATGAAAATTTGAAATAACTATTTCAAAAGGTAAAATTTTCAAGTAATCAATGTGTAAAATGCATGTCATTTCTGCCAGTGTACATGCATTGGTCAGTCTGCTGAGCTAGCAGAGGCTGTTAGGATTGGTTAGAATAGTTAGAAGTTAGTTACAAATAAAGTCAGATTGTTACTAGTTATCATGTAAAATATAAATAGCAAACTCAGTTGATTTGTCAGTTCAATTCAGTATAAGTCATTCTCTCAATCTTGCTCTCTTTCTTTCTGTTCTTAAGCTTTTCTTCTTCTAACTTATTTTCAAAGAATTTCAATGTGTTCAGCTAATTTATATTCAAGGTGATATATGCGCAAGGGGCTACTGGAACATACCTGATGATTCATCAAAAGAAAATCTTCTTGGTTGGTTTGGGGAAAAAATTGAAAATGCTGGCCTGTATGATTTGAAAGATACCCTATATTTTCCTCAAGATGCAGGTAATGATAATTTTTAATACTTTTGGTTAAGTATTTATATGGAAGTTGAATTACGAAAGTAGCTTCTTCTGGTTATGTCTGCTGGGAGCTAGTAAAACATTTTCAAATTTTAGTTGAATTTTTTTTTTTTTGTTTAATTGTCTAGAATAGATGTCCCAACAAAACTTCAGACTAAAATATAAAAAACCTAAAATGTATGTGGTTGAAATAAAGTATATGGTTGAACATTTAAAAAACCTAAAATACAGTTTATCCAAAAATTGCAGATATTTTAGATTTCTTATTAGGAGATATGTGCATTATCTTGTAATTTCCAAAACATTCATGACTCATACAAGAACCTCTACTGTGTTTCTGTTAATGTTTCAGATTCTGAATTTCAGAATCTGGTACCTAAAGGGACTCGCTCTCTTCTGGTGCAACCTGTGTTACAAGTTTCTATTGACGATGCTACTGGCTTGCAAAAACATGTGGGATTTATTCTTCTGGCCTCGACAACGAGGTATGCATTTAGCATTAAAGACAGAGCCTGGATTGCAGCTGTGGCCAACAAACTTAGAGGTAATAGCATTAGCTAGCATGTTTACTGATTTGTAGATGAATTTACACTTCATTTTTTAATTGTCAAGTAAGTCCGAATTCCATTGGAGGCCTCTTTCTTTGTAGTTAAATGCGTATCTGAATTGTTGGGATGGGTATTGGTTTTTCATTTGATGTTTCAAAATGTAAGGAAGGTTGTTTTTAGATCTTGGAAGGCTGAAGTACTTCCTTGGAATTGAAGGTGTCTACTCCAAGCAAGGTGTTTTATCTAAGGAAATATGTCCTTAACCTTCTCAAAGAGACTGAAAAACTCGAGTGTTAGGCAAATGGTGTATCCATTAAGCAAAATCACATAATAGGAAATGATAGTGTCCTAAGGTTGATAGATCCCAATTTCAGGTATTAACAGGGAAATTGATATACTTGGCACATATGTTGTCACTTGTCAGTATTGTTATTCAGTTCATACATAACCTGTACGAAAGACACTTACATGCTTGTGGAATGAATTTTATGGTAGCTTAAAATCACACTTGGAAGAGGGTTTCTATTTAGAAAAGGGTGGAAATCTATCCTTGATGAAGATCATATTAGATTTAGATGACCTCAATAAAAGATGAAGCTCCTATGAAGCTGTTTTGTTATAACAAATCAACCATTAAGATTGAACATAATCCAATTGGACATATTGAGATAGACCGACACTTCAACGAGGAGAAATTGGATCGTGGTCTAGTTATCATAGCATATTAAAAAACCACTCCATGTTAAACCCGACTAGCGAGTGTGGGGTGGGGGAAATCTTTGTACGCAGTCTTACCCTTGCATAATTACAAAGAGGCTGTTTCCTGGATTCGCCCCCTTAGTTATTATAGCATATTGTTCTCTGGAATATAAGTTGGCAGATGTATTAATTAAGGTACTATTCTATTTCTATAGATTAGTTGTTATTTTACGCAGGTAATTATTTAGCTAGTTCTATATTAGTTCTATATATTCAAATAAACCTATATAACGTAATTTATTCAGAAATAGTATTCAGTATTTTTACCATTGTCAATATTATCTGGTGTACAAACAAAATGAAGCATGATTTGTATGTGATACTAGGAAATGCAAGGCAAAGGATTTAACAGATCAAAATTTGGAATTTCTTGGTTGAATTAAGGGAAGACAAGAGGGCGTGCTTGGAGCTGTGATAAAACTGTTTTTTTCATGATTAGAAGGTTATGGATTCGAATCTGGAAAATAGCTTTGCTCTCACCCCACCCTCACGGTTTAATTAAGGGCAGAAATCCGGAAATTGAAGACTCATGCAATATAGGAGGAGGTTTAAAAGGTTACTTAAGTGACTGTTTTTCTACTCTGTAACATTACCTGTGAAAGACTTGTCTTAAATCAAAGGATGCATCTCTAATTTGAAAAATTAACATTCTTCATGTTGCACTTACCTTGTTAAGCTCCATGATGTATGAATTCTGAGTTCTAATTGTATGTACAAAATCATCTTTCATGAATTTCGTTGAATCACTGATTTTGTATATTGATTTCATAAAATAGAAAGAAGAGAATAATTGGTATCAATTTTTTTTTTTTTTGGTGCAAATAATTGGTATCATTTTAAAAGATTAAACTTATGACATCATTTTATTATACTTTTTTGAAGAGTAAATAAGTAACTTAATCTTGGAGTTATCTTTACCTCGTAATTCAGTTATTGAATTCATTTATCTGTATGACTTTGTTCTTACATTTATAAAAGTTGTATCCAGTTAATTATTCTCAATACTAAAATGGGATAAAAAAATAGTGAAGGTGATATGAGTTTTGCAATATTTTAATGAAGGTCAATATGGGATTATTTGTTATCGATTTTTATGAAATAAATAATATAAAATTTGTATTTAATATTTAATATTTGGATATTAAAACACTGTACATTATATATAATTTATAAGAGAAAATATTAAGTCAACAGAATAAATAATTGATTGGTTGACACAATTTATTAATCTATTATTGATATTTAACACGAGAAATATATATTAATGATAATAATATTATTAATCTTAAAGTTTGAATTCAAATTTTTAGTGGAATATTATCAAATCAAATAATCGTTTATTGGTTATAAAGAGCTTTAATTAATAAAATATGATGGATCATAGAGATAAGTGATGGACGGTGAAAAAAATTAATTTATTACTTTTTAAATAAAAAATTATGATTTATGATAGTTTAAAAATAATTACACATTTATTGCACAATATGACACCCAATATAGACGTCACCCATCACGCCTAAATTAAGCGTCAATCAACAGGCAATCACGCCTAATTTAGGCGTCACCCATCAGTGTCACATTTTTTTAAAAAAAAAAATTAACAATTTAATCGTAAGACTTCTGAAGGCCATAATTTTTGACTCGGATATCCAAATCAGGTAATTCTTTTTTTGATTCCACATAACTTTTCGAGATCTACGCAATGACATCTCATTTGACATATTTTATTTCTCACAAACACAATTTAAATTTGCAAGAACTCAGAGTTATAAGAGCGGTTAAACTCAGAAGCCTCTGAGTTCTGGGTTTGTGATTAAATATAAAAAATAAATCAAGATTTGATGTGTGATTTAAATTAATTTTTTTTTATTTTTACTATAAAAAAATTTGGTTTGTGATTTAAATTAAAAATAAGAATTATTATTAATAAGGAAAAAAATAAAAAATTGATTTGTGATTTAAACTCAAAAATCAATTTGAAAAATCTGTATTAATAAAGGAAATAATTAAATAAGTATTCTAAATCTCTGAAGAAGAAGGATTTTATTTTTGAAAAACATTCATAAGCCATCGTTAATTTCAGACCACGAATCAAATCATTATTTATTTTTTTAAATTTAAATCACCAATCAAATCTTTATTTATTTTTTTATATTAAATCACAAACTCAGAACTCAGAGGCTTCTGGGTTTAACCGCTCTTATAATATCATTCTTGTAAATTTAAATTATGTTTGTGAGAAATAAAATATATCAAATGATATATCATTTCGTAGATCTCGAAAAGTTATGTGGAATCAAAAGAACAAATTACCTGATTTGGATACCCGGGTCAAAAGTTATGGCCTTCAAAAGTTTTACGATTAAATTGTTAATTTTTTTTTTGGAAAAAAAATGTGACACGTGTCAACACCTGATGAGTGATGCCTAAATTAAGCGTGATTGGTGTGACGCCTAAATTAGGCGTGATTGCCTCTTGATTGACGCCCAATTTAGGTGTGATTGGTGACGCCCAATTTGAACGTGATATTGTATAATAAATATGTAATTATTTTTAAAACTATCATAAATTCATAATTAATTTATTAAAAGCATTAAATTAATTTTCTTGGCAGTGATGCACATATAACTCGGTTGTTGAATTGATGAACACCAGAGTTAAAGCCCAAAAGATTCATATAATATGATTAAGCCCAAAACAAAATTAAGTTCTTTTTTTTTTAGTGGAAAAATTAGAGTTCTTTAGTCTGTGTTTTATCCTAAACGACAACCTAGAAGTGCACACATGCTCCCTTGCTAAGTTTACCACTTTCTCTTGTTATCGTTGTGTTTGTCACGCACGCCTCGGACTCGCTAATACAGCTCAAGTGTGTCTATCTTTACACGTGTTAAATAAATAAGGTTTAATTATCATTGATGAAAAAATAGATAGATACAAAAATTTCAGTATTTGAATTTTTTTTGTATGAAATAGTGATCATGTTATTTGATCACAATTACTCATTAAAAGTTATATATTTTTTTCTCTTTTATCTCATCATTAATAAATGATTATGATCAAATAACATGATCATGTTACAACTTTTTCATATGACAAAATTGAAATTCAAAATATTAGTTACTTGAAATTTTAACATATTCATTTACCCATTAAAACAAGCACACCTTTAATCCAATATTAGTTGGTCTAATAACAATTTAGTTAAACTTTAACATTTGATGGGCTCAAAAGATAATTTGTTTGATTTTTAAGATTTGCAATTTTTGAAGAGAATAAAAATGCTAAAATTTAAAATTGGATTAATCGGTTGATTAGAGATTCGAATATTATAAAATAATAATAAATATACCTTTTTCAATTGCCCAATGAGACTGCAAAGGTTCCAGTCAAACCTGTACGGTACCAGCCTCTAAAATTCTTAAAATACCATGATTGCCCTCCCGAAGGGACGCATCCTTTCAGTCGTAGGTAGCGAACGTAATCTAGTGCGACCGTACAGGATAATTGTTCATAGACAATGACCACAATTTAAAAATAATTCACTTAAAAAAATATATACAATTATTGATAAAAGAATTAATTTAAATAATTTTATAATTTATTATACACATGTCATATTTGATTGTAATTCTAACTTTTTTTTTAATAAATATTATTTAATAATGTATTGTTACTGTTCGGTCATAGAGCCGTCGAATTATATCGTAGGATATGCGTTCAGAAATATTCTATAGAAATATATTTTGGTTGACATAAAGTTAATATCTCAATCACTGCGCACAAACAATATATTTATAGCAAGACGTGGATGTGTGCACAATGATGACAATAGTAGTAAATGAGTTCAGTGTGTACCTGAGATCTTTAACCTTTTATTTATAAAGATTATTTTTTGAGTTTGGACTGTGTAAATCTTTCGATTGATGTAAGACTTAACCTCTTACTTTTAGAGATAATAATTTTATCTCCATTATCTTTATCATATTATGCTGTTAGGATAACTGTGTCATTATCTATTAAGGGATTCGCGAGTAGGTAATTAAGATATAAATATACTCCATAACAATTTCTTTATTTTATGAAATATTAAATTTATTAATTAATATATAACATATTAAATGACTTTTGAGTTGAAATGCATTTAAATTAAAATCTGATTTCTCTAATAATAAAAGAATAATTATAAAATTACAGTAGTTAATTAAAAAATTAACAAAGTAAATTATAATAATTTAATAAATTAATTTTTATTTCTCTATTTTTGTTATTATCTTACTAATCCAATTCAAATGGGGTAGATATTAACTTATTATGGGCGGCAAAATTCTTTCTCTCAAAATTTTGAGAGAAATAATTTTATCCCTTATCGTTTTATCAAAACTTTTAAGTTTATTTTTAATTATCAATTCAATAATTTATTCCATAAAATCCTCTTTTCCTCGGAATTGATAGAATCATTATCAAACGAAGGTTCTTATTCGAAAGCGTGAACATTACGTGTACAGAAGAAGGGTTTCTCTCGAAGTAAAAAAACATCTCCCAATGAAACATCGCCACGTCAGCAATTGAGCTCTCCGAGCGGCTGCGGATCTATCACCGACTATGTTCCACTATCAATTTATGGACACGTGTCCCAATCTTCACCGGATACTGCCGGTTATATAGGGGCACACAACCGGTAAACACATGTTATTACCGTATTGCCATTCCCATTCCCACTAGGTATCTATAACTATAATCACTGCTCCTCACTACTCTCTCTCTCTCTTTCTCTTCTCTGCGATTTCAATTTTCAGTCTCATATTTACGCTTCCAAAACGCGAAGTTTTGCTTTTCACAGCTTGCGATTTCGATGTGAGTAGTTCCCCAAACGAATCGTTTTGCCACTGAACTTCTTCTTCTTCTTTTTTTCATAGCTTCATTGGGGTTTCAATTTTTCAATTAGTGATCGATTGTAGAACTATTAACGTTGTTTCTTTAGTTTCTTTTCTTTTCTTTTTTCATTTTTTTTTATAAATAATACGCATAAAGAGTTAGGGTTTATTTGTTTATTTAATTTTTCAATTTTTTTGTTGTGCTGGGTTTTCAAAGTCTGCGCTTTTCGTTATTTGGGAATGCGAATTGGGACTTTCTCGTATTTGGGTGTTCTGATTTTTTTTTCCTTTTTTTCTTTTGTGTGTGTGCTGAGAAGGGAATTGGGGTTCCGGTTTTGTTCTTTTCTGTTTGATTGTTTGGTTTCACAATTTGATTTTGGGGTTCTGAATGTGTGAATTGGGATTTTGAATGTGTGATTTCAGAATTCGGGATTTTGGGTTTTTCCCCTCTGCTAATGTTTTGCTTTTTTCACGTGGAGACCGTTGTCTTAATTAATAAGAATTAGGGTTTTGTGTGTTTAAATGTTAGATTGTGATTTTCGTTCCTTCAAAAGGGTAATGGGTTATTGTTCAATTTCTAGGTGTGTTTTCGAAAGTGTATATATGCTTCTTAACCAGGGTTAGTTTGTTTAATTGGTTGTGTTGGTTTCAGCTGTATTTTTCATTATGCTAATGAATTTGTATACATTTTTCCTTTGTTTATGTTAGATCCATATCAGCTGTTGTCCAGTGTTGAGACGAAGATAACACTTTTTGGGTGCATTTGGTTGCACTGGAGTTTGTAGTTTTGTTTAAAGGTTGTGTTCATACTCGATATTTAAGAGAAAGAAGAAATTAAATCAGGGGCTAATACTCGATATTTTACCAGCTTACATTGAGAACGGGAACAGTTTAGGCCTGGCTCTGGAGAGCTACTTTGACTCCAGTCACCAAGTGGGGATGCTCCCCATGCCACCTTCTCGGGTGGCAGGAGGGTTAACCCAGTCGTCATCAAGTTCTGGAATTTTCTTTCAAGGAGATGGACAGTCACAGAATATAGTTAACTCTCGCTTAAGCTCATCTTTTGTTAACTCATCTAACACAGTTCCAGGAACTGGTGGTTCGAATCCAGGTCCACGTTCTGGGGATTTGAATAATACAGTTTTGAACAGTGTGGGAAACTCAGCACCAAGTGTTGGAGCCAGTTCTTTAGTCACAGATGCAAATTCTGCACTCTCTGGTGGCCCCCATATGCAGAGAAGTGCAAGCATTAACGGAGACGCATACATACGATTACCTGCCTCACCCATGTCATTCACATCAAATAATATTAATATTGCTGGATCGCCAGTGATGGATGGTTCCTCTGTTGTACAAAAGAGCTCTCATCAAGAGCACAGTGTTCAACAATTGCAGCAGAATCAGCAGCAGCTGCAGGGTGCTTCAAACACTACATCTTTTCCAGCATCTCAAACTGGCCCTTCACACCAAATGGGTGCACAAGTACCAGGATCTTTTATTCAAGATCCAAATAATATTTCCCAGATGTCGAAGAAACCTAGGCTGGATATGAAGCAGGATGATATAGTCCAACAGCAGGTAATACAGCAGCTTCTTCAGAGACAAGATCCCATGCTGTTCCAGGGTCGTAATCCGCAGTTACAGGCTTTGCTTCAGCAGCAGCAGCAGCAGCAGAGACTGAGACAACAACATATCTTTCAGTCAATGCCACAGTTACAGAGAGTTCAACTGCAACAGCAGCAGCAACAACAACAACAAATGCAGTTAAGGCAGCAATTACAGCCACAAGTGATGCAACCCTTATCTGCTGGGAAGCGCCCATATGACAGTACTGTTAATGGTGTGTGCGCCCGTCGATTGATGCAGTACCTCTATCATCAAAGGCAACGACCAAATGTGAGTTCTGTTTATTAGCTGCATGTGATGGCCTGTCTTTTGGATTCTTTTTGTTCTTATGGCAGCAACGATTTATGATTTATGATTTGTATGATGTGTTAAATCTATTTGAGATTCGCTACATCTTCTGTTTATTTTTGGTTTTTTTTTTTCAAGCATTAATCCTTCTATTTCTGGCACTAATAAAAAAAATTAGTGTATTTAATCTTATGCTTTTATTTAATGTTTTGGATACTTTTGAAGTTCTGGATTGATTAGAACTGTTATTCAATTTACCTGTTTGTCTCAGGATAATAGTATTGCTTATTGGAGAAAATTTGTGGTCGAATATTACTCGCCTCGCGCAAAGAAACGGTGGTGCTTGTCATTATATAATAATGTTGGGCCTCATGCACTTGGTGTGTTCCCCCAAGCAGCTATGGTCAGTTTTTGCACCTATTATTTAACCTTCTATTATTGTTTCATGAATAGGATGATGCCTTGTTATACGGCAATGGTGCATTCAATGTATTAATGGATTGCATTAGCTTATCATGTAGTTGTTGGCAACACCTAAGAATGCCTCTATACAAGAGTAATGCATGAAATAGTTGCATTTGCTTAGTTTAGTATTTTTTTGTCTAAACCACTTTTCCCTATTCATTTGTTGGTGCTTTTGAGCCTTTGACAAGTGCATAATATGACATTGATATTTCTTTGTTCAGGATACATGGCACTGTGACTTATGTGGTTCTAAATCTGGAAGGGGATTTGGTAAGAAAATGAAAATATTGTTATTCTTTTGTGCTATGATTGGCGAATATTTTCAGTTTAGAATTCCAATTTCTGACAAGAACCTAGTGCAGTCAATCTGACCAGGGATCACATTCTAAATTGTACAAAATAATCTTCAGTTTAAATTGAAAGTTTTAGAAAACTAACAGAACAAAATGCAATCAATAACAAGCAAATAAAATGTCTGAGTGATTGTAAGTAGGCAATGGTGGAAGATACATGATTTGCACTTTGATTAGAACTGTAAGCTAGATTATTAGTATGTTATTTCTTTGAAAGTTCTGATATTGTCAATCTAATAATATCTACATTATGGGTATTGTTAACAGAAACAACTTTTGAAGTACTGCCAAGACTTAATGAAATCAAATTTGCCAGTGGAGTGATCGATGAACTTATGTTTTTGGACTTGCCACGTGAATTTAGATTTCCTTCTGGTGTAATGATGTTAGAATATGCAAAAGCAGTTCAAGAGAGTGTATATGAACAGCTTCGTGTTATTCGTGAGGGTCAACTTCGTATCATATTCACTCAAGACCTGAAGGTCGTTAAACCATTACTATGTTAAAAATATTTTCGATTTGAATATTTTGTGCATTCCTACAGAAATTATGTTAATTTGCACAGATATTGTCTTGGGAGTTCTGTGCAAGGGGCCATGAAGAACTTCTTTCTAGAAGGTTAGTTGCACCACAGGTATGATTCTGCACGTTCTAGAATTCTTTGTTCTTCTTCTGTAGTCACTCTTTTTTGGACGGATGATGGTACAAGTTAACAGAATTTTCCTTTAAAGTAGACTTTCATTTATAGCCAGGTTTTAGTTGATAGTTGGGACTACTTGGGAGTGGTCTACCTTGTTACAAAACCCTGAGCTACAAGATTCCAAACACACCATTCTTGATTATTCTAACCATCTTACCTGTCAGCATCATAGTTAGCAAATCAGATGGGTAGGCTTTTGGGGTATTGACAATTATCAGCCATTTAAAACTGTTCAGAAATTCCACCAAGGGGTGAAAGGTTAGCACCTTACCTGAGCCAGAATGAACTACAAGGGGCCAGAGCCGTGCCCTCTAAATAGAGGCTCACCTGAAACACCAAGAGGCACTGAACTCCTTTGTTGTGTAGCCTCGTCTTAGCACCTCTAACTACATTGATGGAGATAGTGCGACTCGATAATTATATTTACTTAATTGGTATGTTAAATAGAGCATTATTTTGGAAGCTAGTTCTTATAATTCACACTTTTGCAGGTCAACCAATTAGTTCAAGTGGCTCAAAAGTGCCAGAGTACAATTGCTGAAAGTGGGTCTGATGGGGTTTCTCAGCAAGACTTGCAAACAAACAGCAACATGTAAGTTAATGCATTGTTTTTCATCTCTGATTGACTTATTTAGTAATTCCTCCCTCTCAGATAACTCGTTTCTCTTGACTGCATGAGTGCTTTATGTGTAGATGTTGTTATCTAGAAATGGTGTATTCCATTTTTGGGCCAGATAGTTGAAGAAACAACCACATAAAGGATAATATAAAGCAAACTATGTTGTTTTGCTATTTTGATCGGGATGCTTTGTGTGTATGTTTTTGGGGGGGCTGTGTGTACTAGCTGCATGGGATAAGGTTGTAGCCAAGTAAGAATCAGCCTCTTTTAGGCTCTGTACATATTTGTTTTTGCTTACTTTCTAGGGTTGCCCTCACCCCTACTATCGCTAGCCGAAGTCTAATGGGGATAATTTTTTTTACACAAGACTGTTTCAGTCAAAAGTTCCCTTGGGCATTTTTATTATAAGTTTCTCCAAACACAAAATAAGCTAACCCAAACACACAAAGGGAAATGGAACCATCGAATAAAAGAAAGAAAATCAATAAATTAATCTTATTTTAACTCAATAATCAAAAATGGAAATAAAAGGATCTTAGTGGAGCATAAGATTTCCCCCTGTTGACATCTTTGCTTGTACTCTGGTCAGAATTTTTACTACGAGGTTTATTCAAGACTATGAGTCATCTCGCAGCATTTTAACTATAGTATTTCTGAGACTTTTCTTCCCTTTTGTCTAAACTTTTGTGCCAGTTGGGTATTAAATAAGTGGCACATGGTTATAAAGTATCTGATTAAATCAGCCTTTATTAATTATATTTACTAGTCTAAATATTAAGAATAGTGTATACTTATAGTGTTACATTTATTTATTTATTGGAGTGAGGATGGTACAACTTGACAACTAAAATAGAGGGAGGATGTTTCTTTTGCATCAGGGTATTGACAGCTGGGCGTCAGCTTTCAAAGAGTTTGGAGTTACAATCGCTAAATGATTTCGGCTTTTCCAAAAGATATGTGAGATGTTTGCAGGTACACTATTAAATTCTAATTCAGAGCTTCTGTGAGTGTTGATTAATATAGAGAGAACTTGATTTATTTTTTATTCTAAATTTAATCAAACCTTTTTATCTTTGCCTGCTACAATTGTTGACAGATTTCTGAGGTTGTCAATAGCATGAAAGATCTAATAGATATCTGTCGAGATCACAAAATTGGGGCAATTGGTAATTCTCTTGTGGTTTTTGTTACCGAATTACATTATTGGTTGTGTTCTGTCATCTTTTTTATATATTGGACTCCTAATCTTTAGTTGTGTTAAGCTGTGTTAGTTTTAGGTGTTTGGAAATCTGTTTCTAAATTATCAATGGCCTTTGTTGCCCTCTATATTGATCCAACACCTACTTGCAGAGAGCTTGAAAAACTATCCTAGACTTGGTACTGCGGCAAAGCTCCAGATGCAAAAGATGCAGGAGATGGAACAGCTAGCAAATGTTCAAGGTCTGCCAACTGATCGAAACACGCTTAATAAGCTAATGGCAATGAATCCTGGAATGAACAACCAAATAAACAACAATCATAATATGGTTAATCGTGGTGCTTTGAGTGGGTCAGCACAAGCTGCTTTGGCACTGACCAACTACCAGAATCTTCTCATGAGGCAAAATTCAGTGAATTCATGCCCGGGCTCTCTTCAGCGAGAAGGATCATCCTCCTTCAATAATTCGAACCAGAGTCCTTCTTCAGCTTTGCAAGGTGCTGGTACTGTTTTGGTTCCAGGCTCAATGCAGAACTCGCCTGTTAGTGGTTTCCCAAGTCCCCGTCTACCCCCGCAGCAGCAGCAGCAGCAGCACCAACTTCAACAGCGCTCGTTAAGTGCAATTAATTTACTGCAACAAAATCATTCACAGGGATCTCAAGGAAATCAAGCTCTACAACAGCAGATGATCCAACAACTTCTGCAGGAGATGTCAAATAACAATGGGGGTGGGCAACCACAATCTCTTGGACCAACTGCTAATGGGAATATGGCAAAGAATGGGTTGAGTTTTGCAGGCCACACTCCACCCATAACTGGAGGTTCTGCCAATGTTGCTGTAAATAATGGACCTGTTTCAAGGAGTAATAGCTTCAAATCGGCTTCAAACATTGATTCTCCTGCTGCTGGTGGCAACAATGGATTCAACCAGAGAGCATCTGATATGCAACAAAATCTCCATTTCCAAGATGTTCAGGATATTGCCAATGAGTTCACGGATAACACCTTCTTTAACAGTGATCTAGATGATAGCATGGGTTATGGCTGGAAGGCATGACTAACACAACATGGCCCTGTAATTGGCTTATCTTGTTGAGATGTTTATCTTATTATCTTTGTACAGGATACTTTGAATAGTTGCTGCTTCTTTTCTTGGTTTCCCTGCTCATTTTATTGATGGAATTTGTGGCGACTTTTGAGTAGGTGTTTAGAGATTTGATTTGAGGGTTTTTGTCTAGCCTGCAAGTGTAATCTATTGGACAATTTGAAGGACAATTCTTACCTTATACAACATTTTATGTCCCCCTATTGCTTTGTTTTCTTTGTCTTTCTTTTTTGCAACCAAGCTTAATCAAACCAAGTTCGAAATGGTTTTAATGGGCCTCTTCATTTATTTTATGGATAACTATTAAATTCGAAATAGCAAATCGACTAAAGTCTACACCCTTTAGTATCATATATGGGAGAAATCCTATACTGCTTACCTGTACTCCATGTGACGTTGATTGATAGTATTTGATAAGTAATTGCATGCACATGGAGGAGGAATTAGCTGAATTAAGAGTTTTTGAGCGAGACTAATGTTACAGTTACCGTACTGCTAGAATTGTTAGTTTCTTGCACTTCAAAATTGAACTTATAATGCATAATTAACTTACAGCATTCCTTACAGTTTGATTGATCTCCTTTAGATAAAGAGATGTTTATCCCTTTTGATTGAATTGAACTGCTTGGATTTACTACTTGTCAGAATTACTGAAATTTGTATAAGCATTCAAACTTCTAACTTTGAACTCTAAAATTTATTTTCCCTACCAGTAGGTGGACATTTTAACACAAACTTTGATACGTAATCATAAGGAGGGGGATATTAGAAACATACTATATATTTGACACTCAATTTAACACTTCTATTTTACTCTCTTTTTTATTGAATGTAAACTTATAAAAGGCCCGTCAATAAAGAGGGGATCCACCTTATTTAGTGAGATTTACGTTAGATTTCACCAAATAATAGAAAAGTGTTGAAATGAAAATGTCAAAAGAATATAATAATTGGTTTTCTCAATACAAGGTTGTGTAAAAGCACTGGTTAGAAATTTAATGCTACTGAAGAAAGTTCTCTACTTTCTTTTCTTCGTTATTCTTCTAATTTGTATATGATATAAGATAAAGTTTTTATTAGTACATCACGCCAGCCTGACTTTTTCCTGTTGGAAAAATAGAGTATTCAAAAAAAAAAAAAAAAAAAAAAAATTATACTTATTACCTCCAAAGCATGGACACGTTCCTTTTAAAAAAATTTGCATGTCGGACACGTGTCCGACATGGATACGCTCGGACACGCGTCCGACACGCGGTCAACATTTGGGGACACGTGGTCAACTCTCCGACACGTTCCGACACGTTTTTTTCGACACGCAGTCAACTTTTTGTGTCCAACATGGACACGCTCGGACACGCATCTGACATGCGGTCAACATTTGGGGACATGTGGTCAACTCTCCGACACGTTCCGACACGTTTTTCGACACGCAGTCAACTTTTTCCGACACGCGATCAACGCTGGGACACTCTCGGACACGTTTTTTTTTTTTTTTTTTTTTTTAAATCTTAATTTTATTTTGTTAACTAAATATAAAAGAAATAATTTGTAAATTAATTTTTCTCTTATGAAATTTGACAAGAAAAATTAGCAAAGTACGAAAAATTATTTATATTTATATTTATGTTATGAAATTTAAATATTTGTTTGGTTATATGAATTATTATGGACTTTTATATGTATTAAATATAAATTATATTATATATATTAAAAATTTTATTTAATATCAAAACGTGTCCCAACGTGTTAAAATATGATATTTTTTAGAATTAATATGTCGACGTGTCGTGTCGTGTCGTGTCCCGTGTCCTGTGTCCGTGTCCGTGCATCATAGCTTATTACTATATTTTCTTAATACTTCTTACTATCAATTTTGTTATCCTTAGATCAAAATTAAATCAACGGTTCTCACTTGATTTTATTTTGTACCGTTGATTTAATTTTCATTCAACGATAACAAAATTGATAGTAAGAGGTAATAAAGAAAAACGATAATAAGTATAACATATCCTTTAAAAAAATATTTTCTCAATGTTTTATTTAAAAATGGTACGGTAAAAAAAAGATAAATAACATTATTCTTCAATAATTTGTAGAAGGTAATAGGTTCAAATTTCATAGTTTCATTATATTGTTTTTTTTTTTCCTCATTTAGGTTTTGATTTTTATAAAAAATTTCTTATGTATAGATCTTATAGTTTTATAATATTAAAGCTTTGGTTTCTCGAGAACTAATACTGAATAAGAACTTGTAAGAATCAATTTTTAATAAAGAATCGAAACATCTTTTGACGAATATAAATTATAAAAACAAAAATTTTAAGAATTTAAAAATATAACAATTGATAGACAATAATATTATACACAACAATATTAATAAAAGTTAAATAAATCAAGATATAAGTAATAAAACCCAAAAGAAAATTAATGAACTCTCGTCAGAAAAGGAATAGAAGAGACTCTTTTAATTGAAGAGACTGTTTTTGAAAATCGATTTCATAAATCTGTTTCAACAAGCATATATACAATCGGTTAAGATAAATAAATTTGAATATATATATATATATATATATATATATATATATATATATATTTCTGCTCTTTAATTTTCTCGAACCGCTAGACGTACAACAAATAGATTCGGAGAATCATAATTATACAAAATTGGGTGAAAGCATTAAATGCGAGGAAGAATAATCAATCAACGGTGTAAGATTTATTGCTAGGCGTTCAACAGTTGGAGGAATATATATATATATATATATATATATATATATATATCTGTGTGTGTGTAGGAAATAGTTTTCTTATGTTGTAGGAAAAAATTTCTCTCATGTAATAGAAACAAAATTATAAGTGGGACCCACATATAAGAGGAGAGAGAAAAAATAAAGGTGGGACCACCTCTCTTTTGTGTGTGTAGAAAATTGGCTTCTCTTATGTAACATAGGATAAATATAACCCTATATATATATATATATATATATGGCTTTATTACTCTCCTTTTTAGGAGATAACTTCTCTCATGCTTTCACACTTCAATTTTTGCATCTCCATTTTCTCTTCTTCTTTTTTCCTTATAATGGTGGGACTCATCCATCTTCTCTCTACAACATAAGATAGTTATCTCCTATGAAAGAAGAGTAGTATTTTCCATATATATATATATATATAGGGTCAGGATTATTTCACACCAGTATATGTTACACTCTTAATATCTAACGGCTCTGATTTATTAAATATTTGAGCCGTTAGATGAAAGTAAATCAATGACCAAGATTTGGTGTAAAACTTTTTATTTTTTCATAAGTGTAAGAACATCTTGCCCCTATATGGGTTAGGGTCATTTTATAGCGGTGTAAGTTATACTTCCAATCTTGATCATTGATCCTATTTATATCTAATGGTTCTGATTTACTAAATATTAGTCATTATATACAAACAAATCAATGATCAAAGTTTGGTGTTAAGATTTCCTATTCTTACACCGGTGTAGATTACATTTTCAATCTTGTGTAGATACAAGATATGTTTGGTGATAACAAAAGGCAACAACCTTGATCAAGAGCAAAAAAAATTAACCATGTGTGGGGATTGAAGATGTATGTTAGAGCCACACAAGAAGATTAATACATCAAAGATGCAACAATATGGATGAGCTTTGAGAATAGAAAGGAGTCATGATCAATTCAATCAAGTCCAACAAGGAAGAATAGCAAAACTATGGTCAAAGGAAACAAACCATGGACAATATCTAATAGAAGATCAAATATCACAACCATGGTGAAAAAGGAGCAAAACCAATAAATTGTCAAGCATTGTCATTTTCAACAAGTCAAAGTATCAAGCTCAAGTAAATATCCAAGACACAAGACATGAAGCTAAGTCTAAAACCATATTTAGAATATATCTTTAGGACTTAAACTTATATGTAAAGGTACATGGTAGATTGCATTGCATGAGCTCAAATTTTTTCTCAAAGTAAACATGTTTTTCAAATTGAATAATCCATAACCTTTAAATAGTTTAAAGTAATTTGAAAAACCCATGGAAAATATACTTGACATGTTTATAACTTCAAAACATATTTACAAAGTCAATGTCTTTCATAAAAAGTGGTTGGAAGCAAGGTAGAGCACATTTAAACTTAAAATTTGCTGCATAATTTGGTTGTTTGTCTTCAGACAATTTTTCGTATCAAAGATGACAGATTTGGATCTTGTGTTCTTCATAAAATTTATGGATTTATCTTTTATCTTTCCTAAGACACCAAAATCACATCAATTTGACAAGTATAACTCAAGTTATGCCAAAAAATACGAAATAATATTCTTGCTGTCAGGTTGGGAATCGATTAATAGCATATAGTAATCGATTATCACTACGAAAAAATGCCTATAATGGCTATAAACGGCTAATTTTGGAAAAAAAATCACTATATATACATTTCGAACAACTCCAAAACCAAGTGGGCATCATTCTTACACATCGTAAGCATACTTTGAGAATTTCTACACTATCACTTGCATATTCTTTCATATCTTTCAAAAAGAAAAATATTTGAGCTCATATTGTGAAAGTTCATATACTTATAGTGCTTCAAGTTGTATATCCACACTTTGAAAGTGTATATTTATTTCCAAACACTTCCTCCTTTGTATTCTTGAATTGAGAGGGTTGTGTGATCCATTGTATTTGAGAGGTACCCAAATACCTAAGTTAATTTGGAGTGAAAGGCATCCAAGAGCCCGAAGTCTTGGAAGGTTGTAGTGGTTTGTCAAGTGATAAGTGTCAAAGACAATATATTTCTAGGATCAAAGATATGTTAAATAATGTTAAAAATGGTCAAGAACATAGTGTAAATTAATTAAATGCAAAAGAATTAGAGCTTTAACATTCGAATATGATTTTGACTTCTTTTTGTGTTATTTTCAGGTTTAATATGATAAATTATAATTATGAAGAATTATTGAAGTTGGAAGATATGAAATTCAACAAAAATTGAAGAATAAAGAAAAACTAGTATTATTGTATGCTCGCTCACTTTCTCGAACGAGCGAGCTGATAAAATTACCTTGTCAGTTTGCTCAAATGAGCAAGAAATTGAGCGAGATATCAAATTTACCTTGTCAGTTTGCTCGAACGAGCGAGAAACTGAGCGAGCAGCATCGTAAATGGAGGTCCATGGATATTTTCATTAAAAAGGGACAGTCTAGGG